TCAAAAAGCTGAACAAAGAAATTCCATATGACCCAGCTATTCCACTGCTTAGACTATACCTCGAGAAAATTAGAACTGAAGCACAAATGGAGATTTGTACATCAATGTTCATAGCAGTGTTATTCACCATCACAAGAACACAGAACAGCCCCAATGTCCAACCAAAACAATGGAATTGATTGAGAAATTATGGCACATTCACACAACGGAATACTACGTAGCATGCACGAATAATGACTTTGAAAATTTCTGCCTAACTTGGGAGGAACTGGAGAGCATTATGCTAAATGAATTAACTCAGTCCCATAGGACAATATGGTATAAGACTATCACAGAAAGAGAAAGATGACTAGAACAACAAGTATGAGGATCTGAGGCAAGGAAGGTAGAAGAAGCAAAGGGGAGAGGATGGACAGGGGGGTAAATATAGGGTTGCATAATTTGATGGGTAGAGGGTGGGGTGGGTAAAGGAAATGGGGGAAATCCAGTGTGAAAAACAATGTATGTGTACTTTGTAAGTAAACCAGTATAAAATAAAAATTTTATTTTAAAAAACCTACTACATAGCTGTAATAACCAATACAGTCTGGTATTGGTACAGAGACAGACACATAGACCAATGGAATAGAATTGAGAACCCAGAAATCAACCCATCTATCTATAGTCAACAGTGTTCAATAAGAAAACCTATCAAATAGGGAAATGACAGCTTCTTCAACAAATGGTCCTGGCAAAACTTGGACTTTTACCTGTAGAGAGCCGAAGCAAGATCCACATCTTACACCATACACAAAAATAAACTCAAGGTGGATCAGGGCTCTAGGAGTAAAACCCAAAACCATAAAAATCATAAGAGACAAAGTGGGACCAAACTTGTCCCATTAAAGATTAAGTCCTTGTGCGCATCAAAAGCTTTACCCAAAAGTGTAAAAAGAAAACCAACTGACTGAGAAAAAACATTTGGCAATGACATCTCAGACAAGGGTCTGAGAACAAAAATTTAGAGACTACTACAGGGCTTTCACAAGAAAAAGTCTGGGGGCGGGGAGGAAAAGTCTGATAACACAATTACAAAATGGGCAAAAGACATGGAAACACCTTTCACAGAGGAAGACATCTGGATGGCCAACAGACACATGAAGTAATGTTCAAAACCAATGGGAATAAGAGATATGCCAAAACCACAATGAAAATTCATCTCACCCCAGTAGCAGTGGCAAAGTTAAACAGGACAGAAAGTAATAAATTATGGAGAGGATGTGGCGAGATAGGAACTTTTTTTTTTTTAGATAGGATGGTACAATTACTCTTTGTTTAGTGTTCATATAGACAAAAATTCTTACCACTGGACCAACAGGCAGAATCATAATGGATGGAGAGGAGATTGAAACTCAACAGTTTCATCTTGCTTGAATTCACAATTAACACCCTTGGTACAAGCAGTGAGGAAATAAGGAGATTAATTGCAATGGGAAAATCTGCAGTTAGGGACCTTTCCAAATTATTGAGAAGTAGTGATGTCAGTTTGAAGACTTAGGTGCGTCTGATTCAGGCCATTAGATTTCCAATTTCAAGATATGCATTCAAGACCTAGACAATGAATAACGATGACAGAAAAACAATTGATGCCTTTGAGCTGTGGTGTTGGAGAAGAGCACTGTACATCCCATGGATGGCCAAGAGAATGAATGGATGTGTCTTGGAGCGGGTGCAGCCAGAGTGCTCTTTTGAGGCAAGAATAATGAGGCTTCACCTCACATACTTTAGACATATTGCTAGGAGGTGCTATTCCTTGGAGAAGTATATGATGTTGGGAAGAGTGGAGGGTCGGAAAAGGAAAGGAAGACCTTCAACCAAGTGGACTGACAAGGTATTACTGCAATGGGCTCTTGGGTGTCAGGATGTGTGAAGATGGCGCAGGACAAGACTAGTTTCATATCATTTGTTCATAGGGTTGCTATGAGTCATACTCGACTCAATGGCACCTAACAACTACTCTGGAAGGTAGGTTAGTGTGTCCTCAAAAAGCTGAACATAGAGATTCTGTACAATTCAGCTTAGCTATGCTACTGTCAGGAATATACCCCAAGAAAAACAGAACTGAGATACAAATGGAGATTTGTACACCAATGCTCATAGCAGCATTAGCAATAACAACAACATGGAAACAACTCAAATGTCCATCAAGAAATGACTAGATTGAGACACTTTGGTACATTCACACAATGGAATACTATGCAGCATTCAAGAACAACAATTTTGAGAAATACTATATAACACTGGAGAGGCTAGAGAGCATTATGGTGAGTGAACTAACTCAGGCACATAAGAACAAATACTATATAAGACTATTTTTGTAAAAACAGAAGGATAACCAGTAAGATGTATATAAATATCCAAGGAGTGAAGAGGAGGGGAAGGGGGTATGTGGAAAAATTACGGGATCACAGAGTTTGGTAGGTAGAGGCAAGGGGGGTAAAAAAGGCAACATACATGAATGATATGCAATTTAAAAAAGATAAATATTGACTATAAAAAATGTATAAAGTAAATAAACACATTAAAGTGTCATAGGCCCTTCCTTTCTGATTCTTGAATGACGCTGGCATTATACATAACCGTTTCACCATTAGCCTCATCAGCAGCTATCACTCCCCTCAAGCTTTCTCTTTGCCTTCAAAGTTACATTACCATTAGCCTTCATTTTCTCTTCTACCCAGATGGCCCTGAAATGTACATGTCCAGTTCAGATGGTTCCAAGTCTCCATATAAATTTTCTGTTGCCATCTCTAAATCAAGTGTTCAGAACAAAATACATCTTAGTCTCTCTGGATTCCTTTTTCTTTTTGAAGTCACATCACTATTTCTCCAGGTTACTCTGGATAAAGTGAAAAGTTGCATTCTCTTCTATACTTCTAGGTCCATTTTTATAGCATCTTGTTATTCATAGCACTTTTGACAATCTGTCATTATTTTGTGCACTTACTGGCTTATTTGCTCATGCTGTATTTTTTACTTGAAAGAACATAAATATAAGTGCCATGAATATTATTAACCTTGCCTGTCCTAACCATGATTTCATAGCACAGCTCATAGCACATAATTGTCTCGTAATAAATAGCTACTCAATGTTGACTTTTATATTAGTTTTTATTCATAACAACAACAATAAAGTGCATGAAGTGTTTCAAATTGTTTTTAATCCTGTATCATGTTCACAAAAATCAGATTAAGGATGTATTTCATTACTATTACTCTATTACTCTATTTTATAAATGAGGAACTGAGGTCTAGAGTGGTTAAATGTCTTGCTCAGTCACAACACAGATAAGCAAGAGAATGAAGATTAAAATCCAAGTGTTCAAACCCCACTACCCTATACTTGTCTTGTAAGATAAGTAAAATTTAAAACACACCCCCTACACACACTTATGTCAAAGAAATGAAGTTGATTCAGAAATATTAATACCTCAGAAACTATCAGTAAAGTCAATAAAACATAGTCTAGATATCAAATGAGTAGACAAAAAGAACACTGAAATGCTTTGTGAGTTCCTGAAAAAAGGAAAGCAAAGACTTATCATAATATCTAGTATTTCACTCCTGAGAGAGAGAGTGTGTGTGTATCTTCAAAAGTACTAAAAACAGGTACTTTAACAAATACTTGTACAAGATCATTTGCTAATATAGTAGTTGTTATGTGTCGTCAAGTCGCTTGCGATTCATAGTGACCCTATGTACAAGAGCCCTAAACCCTGCTCTACCCTGTGCCAACCTTACTGTCTCTGACATACCTGCTCCCATTAGCCCAGTCACTGAGTAGATCCATCTCACTGAGGGTCTTCCTCTCTTTTACTGTCCCTCCACCTCACAAACATGATGTCCCTCTCTAAGGACTGGTCCCTCCTTGCAACACGCCCAATGTATGTCAGATAAGGATTCTGAATCCTTGCCACCAAAGAGCAGCCTGATTTCACCCTCTCCAGGACAAACCTGTCTGTTCTCCTAGCAGTCCATGGTATATTCAACACTCTTCTCCAGCACCACAGCTCAAAGGCATCAACTACTTTTCTATCATCCCTAGCCACTGTCCAGCTCTCTTGACACAGAGCACACAATTGCAAAGACTACAGCCCAGATCAGGCGCACCTTAGTCTCCAACCTCATGTCACTGCTCTTCAGTACTGACAGCTGACTTTCCCAATATAATCTGTCTCTTGATTTCCTGGCTACTGGCATCAAGTGTGTTGACTGTGAAGCCAAGCAAACTAAAACTGTTAACAATCTCAATCTTGTCATCATCCATAATGATGCTGCCAATTAGCCCAGTCGTGAGAATCTTTGTTTTCTTGATGTTGAGCTTCAATTCATATTTAAGGCTGCAGTCCTTGACCTTCTGCAGCAAGCACTTCAGGTTCTCTTCAGTTTCAGCAAAAAAAAGCTCTCAACAACAACCCACAGTCAATTCTGACTCATTGCATCATACAGTACAGAGCAAACAGCCCCAAAGGTAGAATTTCCAGCGCTGTAAACTTTATAAAGACCCAGCACAGAGCAACTGGTAGGTCTGAATTATCAATCTTTTGATGAACAGAGTGGTTAAACAACAAGCCTCTCTAGACTCTATATATTATCCATAACAATAAAATTTTAAAAAGGAAAAATAAAAATACGATAACACATCATGAGCTGCCAGGAAGATCATGGTAAGTATATTTCATTCATTACTATTATCTGTAGGTGTTAAACCAAAATACACTGATGAATCTTGGAGCAACTCACACTAACTGGAAATTGCTCACTCAACAGTAAGAATAATCTTATGGAAGTCTGATACCCTATCAGTTGAGCAGCTCACGGAGGACAGAGACCATGTCTTCTTCATCTCTGTAGCTTGAGTACTTACTCTAGGAGTTAGAACGCCGAAGACATAGTATTATTTCTCCAAAAGTGAATGAATAATGTAAAGAATGCAAAGATACCATCAAAGACTACTTTACCTTGGCATCTTTTTGTTCTTCCAGAGACAATTCCATCAAGTCATCTGAAATATCCTCTGACTGGTCTTCTCCCAGTTCTGACTTTTTATTCCATTTTGGAATAGTAGCAATGGGACTGCCCAGGTCATTTGTTTCACTTCCCAACATGTTTTGATTGTCCTATCAAATACATTGGCAACATTAACAAGCTTTCCCTCCTTCCTAGAAATTGCAAAAATCGTTCTCACTTAAGTGGGCTTAGAAAACCTGAAAGATCATAATTCAGACCTGCAATTCACCTTCACCTACTGCTACTAAGCCCCTCAGAGTGACCCTATAGGCCAGAGTAAACTGTCTCATGGGGTTTCCACAGTTGGAAATCTTCTATTTCATCTCTTTCCCTGAGGAATAGTTGGTGGGGTCACACTTCTGACCTTTTGGTTAGCATTTCAATGTTTTAACCCATGTGCCCTTAGAGTTCTAATAACCCCTTCCTAAACAGACTTTTTTTTAATTGCCCCAGCATTATTTATTGGTGAGTTAGTAATTTCTCTATTGCTCTATACCACCCACCGCCTGTAAGAAATGATTCTTAATTGTGGCCAAAGGAGGTCTAAGCTGACTTTTAATGATGATGTTTAGTGACTTACCAGCAGAGAAAGGGGAGAAAGAAAAGGACCTCCTGGTCTTTTTTTAAACTTTAAGTTACTGGGTGCCAACCATTCCAAGGATTTCAAGGTATAGTTTTCCTAAAAGAAAAACTACATTGGCTCAAAAAAAAAGAGATGTTAGAAGGCCCTGCAAAAATCATTTCATCTGACTAAGCCATGATTAACATTCATGAAATACATTTAAAAGTAAAAAAGCTGACCATGTAATATGAAGATGCAAACTATGTTTTGGAAGTTACGTTGGACATGTAGACTTGCTTTGGAAAAGACTCATTTCATGATCACATGCAAAAGCAGCAGAAAAGGGGAGCCTGACTGGGGAGGGGATGGTGAGATTTAAAAGCCTGATCATAAAAGGAGGTTAGCTTCAAATTATTTAAAAAAAGAACGAAAGAGATTAAAGGGCACTATTTAAAAAAAAAGCTGATCAAAACAGCCAAAAACACAGGCATATCCGAGGGAAAAAAGGACAAGAGCAATTTAACATTTTTTTTAAATCAAATTAAGAGTAGGAATTAAAGGCAGGGGGATAAAAATGATGGCTAGAAAAGGGGACTAGTTAAAAGAATTTGGTATGGAATTATCTGAGTGAATAGGCGGCTCTGCAGAGGCCAGCTTCTACTTGAAACTAAAGGACAAAAAAACCCTAAGGCAAAAAAGCCAAACCATGGCTTTCTCAGAACAGGGTCTAAGACTAGATGAGGAGAAAGGAAGAAACTAAAAAATCTAGGTTTTCAATAGAAAGCCATTTGAGAAATCTATAAATAAATGATACACATATCATTTACCTTTTTATTACAAAAACAAACCAAAAAAATCCTTACACTAACACAATCGACACTCTTGGTACCAGCAGCCAGGGACCAGTCTTTGGAGAAGGACATCTTGCTTGGGAAGGTGAAGGGACGGCACAAGAGAAGAAGACCTATGATGAGATAGACTGACCCTGTGGCTGGGGTAATGGAGATAAGGTGTGCTGGAGACAATAAAATTGGCTCAAGAACAGGTAAGGTTCAGAGATGTTGTAAATAGGGTGCCTATGAGTTGCAGGTGACTCGACAGCACATGACAGTAATACTTTAGAAAAGTAAGATTTTTTTTCCCCCCTCTAAAAATGATCAAATGAGCAAGAGTTATAATGACAACCAGCTATTAAAGTCTTAGAGACAGGCTTTACCCTAGAATTAAAATTTTCTTGCAGTGACAAAGTTTGCTTGTCAGGCCTACCGATACCAACAGCATTGTGTCCCTTAAAGAGACCCTGAGGTCATGTCTATAAACAATTAATGCTTGGAAGACAGGACAGGCTTAAAAATGGGTATAGGCTTGCTTTTACTATGGAACAGTTCTTCTCCACACATAGGGGATGGTAAGAGTAGGAATCAACATGCTGTCAGTGAACAATAACATATGTTTTCTAAAGATACAGATCACATGTGTTGCCCCACTTGAAGGAAGAAAGCTGCCAGTCTACCTAGGCATCCATTGATCACTTACATTTTTTTTATTTGCAGATGAACCGCACACTGCCTCTTTCTTTCTGCGACCACAATCCAAAGAATTCGGAGTGCTGCATAGCAGTTGTGCCTACAAGAGAGTTTTCTGAGACCATCCAGTATCCTTCAGACAATGAGAGTTAGAAATCGTCTTACTACCACCAGAGAAAAAACCCAACCTTAAGAGAGCATACTCACTGGGCTGCCTTTTATTAGATGCTGATGATGATTCCTACAGATCAAAAGAAATTGCTAGTCAGGTAAGCACCAAATATTGTATGGTTCTTCAGTGGCTTAAAGCATCCCAGGTCTTTCTTTCTTCCATTGTAGGGGACCCTATACCTAGTTGATGAATCTCTTCTAAAATCAATTAATAGGAATTTCTCTAGGTAAATATTACGATGCTAAGTGACATTATAGAAATAAGGTCTATCAGTGCAACCACTGTAGAAGGCGGTATGGCACTTTCTCAAAAAGTTGCAAATAGAGATACCATTTGACCCAACAATTCCACTACTGGGAATATACCCCAAAGAGACCATAGCTGACATCCAAGCAGATATAAGCACACACATGTTTATTGCAGTTTTGTTCACAATAGCAAGGAGTTGGAAACAACCTAAGTGCCCATCAACAAACGAATGAATAGAGAAACTGTGGAATATTTACACAATGGAATACTATGCTGCATTGAAAAACAAGGAACTCATGCAATATTATCCAAAATGGGTGACTCTGGAGGATATTATGCTGAGGGAAGTATCTCAGTCACAAAAGGACAAATACTGCATGTTGTAAAACAGGACTGACCTTGGGGTTGTGGAGAGACTGAGAAAGATGGGTTCAATAATGTATACTGCATTGAAACAGACGGGGGAGAAAACTGTTTAAAAGGGATATGTGATTAGGTATTTCTGTCATGACAGGAGTCTAGAGCGAAGGCTGCATGGTGGAGTGGACCTGGGGGAGGATTTGTAAAACAATGAAAGAATTTTTCTTTTACTTTTCCAAGAGGGTAATTAGGTATTTTTGTCATGACAGGAGTCTAGAGGGAAGGCTACATGGTGGAGTGGACCTGGGGAAGGGTTTGTAAAACAATGAAAGAATTTTTCTTTTACTTTTCAAAGAGGGTGTGTACTAGGGGGGAGGGTTGGGAGGGAAGAAAAGTGTAACAATGAATGAATGGAAATCCAAAGTCTCTGTAAATTTTTACTGAAATGAATAATAAACTTAAATTTAAAAAAAAAAGAAATAAGGTCTATCTTAGTTACCCACCCACCCCCCGTTGCTATAACAGAAATATCACAAGTGGGTTGACTTAACAAATAGAAATCAATCCTCATATTTTAGGATTGTTGTTAGGTGCTATCAAGTAGATTACAATTCATAATGACTCTGAACAAAAGATCTGAACCCTGCTCTATCCTGTGCCATCCTCTTCATCCCTGATACATTCAAGCACATTGCTCCAGTCATTGTGTCAATCCATTTTTTGAGAGTCTTCCTCTCTTTCGTGGGCTCTCTACCTTTCCAAGCATGATGTCCTTTTCCAAGGACTGATCCTTCCTAACAACATTTTTAAAGTATGTATCATCCTTGCTTCTAACAAGCACCTTGGCTACACTTTCTCCAAGACATTTGTGGGGTTTTTTTGTCCCTGGAATAGTCTGTTGGTAATATTTTTCAACACAATAGCTCAAAGGCATAGATTCCTCCTCTGTCATTCTTATTCACTGTTCAACTTTCAGATGCATAGGAAATAACTGAAAAGATCATGACTTGAATTAGATGCACCTCAGTCTTCAAACTGACATCACTGCTCCTCAGCACTTTGGAGAGTTGACAGCCGATTTCTAAATATATAACACATCTTTTGATATCTTGCCTGCTAGTACCAAGGGTGATTGTGGATCCAAGTAAGATGAACTCATTAATAACTTCAATCTTCTCTTTATCCTGAGTGCTGTTATCTGTTGGCCTAGGGGAAGACCCTCTATGAGATGGATTGATTCGGTGACTGGGGTAATCGGGATGGGTGTGTCAGAGGCGGTGCGGTTGGCGCAGGATAGAGCAGGGTTTAGAGCTGTTGTGCATAGGGTCGCTATGAGTCGGAAACGACTTGATGGCACATAACAACAACAGTGGAATTTTTGTTTCCTTAATGTTAAGATGTAGTCTATAGGCTACATCTATCTAAGGCTATCGTCCTTGATCTTCTACACTAAGCTTCTCAGGTTCTCCTTGCTTGTAGCAAGCAAGGTTGTATCATCTGCATAATGTAGGTGGTTAAGTCTTTCTCCAACCTTGAAGCCACACTCTTCTTCATAATGTCCAACTTCTCACATGATTTGCTCTGCATACAAACTGAATTATGTATGGAGAAAGGATATAGCCCAGATTCACTCACAAGTACAAATTCAGGGTGCCAACTCTAGAGAAAAGGTTTTGTATTTCTGTAGGATGAGGGGAAATCCTTGTTCCTCCATGATTTTCACTTGGTGTGGCATCTATCCTCCCCATCTCTGCTTGCTTCTCTGTCTAACCTGCTTTTTAATATTTCAAGAAACTAACTTAACACAAACCTGCAGTGTTTTGAAATAATTAATATGTCCCTTTGAGCCATTGTCCTCCACTTTGTGATGTGTTGTGAATCCTAACCTCTGTAGTTGTGGTTATCAGTCACTTTAAAGTAATGATGCTTGTTTAAAGACTAAGGTGTGCCTGATCCAAACCATGATATTTTCAACTCTTTACTGTGTGTCTGAAAGTTGAACAACGAATAAGACCAAAGAAGAATCAATGTTACTGAACTGTGGTGTTGCTGAAGTTACTGAATACACCATGGAGTGCCAGAACAAATCAACCTATCTTGAAGAAGTGCAAACATACTGCTCCTAAGAGATGAGGATGGTGAAACTGTCTCATATACTGTGGGCCCAGTGTCAGGGGGGCCAAGTCTTTGAAAAAAATTATTTTGCTGAAAAAGGTGGAAGGTCAGTGGAAAAGAGGAATATTCTCAATTAGATGGGTTGACAGTAACTTCAACAAAAGGCTTGAGCATGGGAGAGATCATGAAGATGGAGCAGGATAAGGCAAGGTTCTGATTTGTTGTTCATAGGGTTGCTATGAGTCCTACAGTCTCCTGGACAGCACCTAACAACGTGGCTGTGATGATGGTCCCATTTTGGAGGGAGTTGTCCATTGTGTTAATGAGGGTTAAGGTGGGATGTATTGTGAGTCACCACCTTTCACCATCTAGTTAAGTTATATTCTTGCTTGAGTCATACTTTTTATCTTACAAGAGATAAAAGGAAAAGAGAATCTGCCTACCGCCAAAAAAAGATGAGAGGATGTATCCTTTGGATCTGAGGTCCCTACCTTGAGATCGTCCAAGACTCAGGAAACAAGAGAGTTACAATAATGGAGATTGTTATAAAGCAAAGCAGCAAAAGCTAAACAGGAGTGAGAAAAGGTGACTTCCCAGGCCAGAGTGAGAAAGCTGAATGCCTTCTGGCAGGGGCTTGTTGGATATATGTGGAGTAAAGAGGACCGAGACTGAGCCAGATCTATTCAGACTAGTAACTGGAAGCTGCTGGTTCAGCAGCAGAAATAATTCCATGGTAGTTTGATACCTTATCAGTGGAGTAGCTCAGAGAAGATGGAGACTATGTCTTCTCATCTCTGTAGCCCTCCCACTTACCACAGATGGCTTGGACAGAGAAGAGAAACAATAGTTTGTCCAAGAATGAATGAGTATGAATAACGTTTTGATTGCATCAGAAATTGCCTACAGGCATGGCTGAGCAGATACAGTCAGTCTTAATGGAAGAACTGTATCCTGAGTCTTTCTTGGTATTAAGTTTTAACATTAGTTCCCTAATAAAACTCACAATCCTAAGTATTTTCAGTGAGCTGTGTGGCCACCGAACTATTTACTGAATCCAGCAGAGATATACAGAGTGACATAACTATAGCTAGTGTTAGAACTGGCAAAAAGTTTGGTGGGAAGTATGTTTGATCTCCACCTCTTAAGAATCAACCATGGGCTACTGATTCTTTCTCCCCTTCAAAAATTAGGGAAACTCAGATGGCCTTCATTCTATTTTATAACACCTTATACTAATACTTAGACATTTTTAAGATTAAGGTGTGCCTGATCCAAGTAATGTTTTGGGTTTGTTTTTTTTTAATTTTTTTTATGTGTGTACCGTCAAATCGGATCTGACTGGTACAGGAGGAGATTGTCCCTCCTTCTTCAGCAGAGCATCTGGTGGATTTGAACCACACACCTCTGGGATTGCAGTGCAGCTTCTTGCCACTAGGCCACCAGAGCTCTCCAGTAATGTTTTTTTTAAAATTCATTTTTGCACATTTTCTCCTCATCCCAGCCTGAGCCCCACCCTGCAATGCACCTCTTGTTCCTGACTGTTGTCACACATATAATGCCTAATCATATATCTGTTTTGGACAGTTCTTCCTTTCATCTGTTCTACGTAGTGTTCATTATCTATCCACTGTTTTCCCATTCCCTCCCCAACCCCAGCATGTCTGTCCTATTTTATAACAGTGGTGTTATGCAGTATTTGTCCTTTTGTGATTGAGACATTTCACTCAACATAATGTCCTGGGGCTCCCCTGTGTTGTGTAATGTTTTACAAGTTCATTGTTTTTCAATGCTGTATAATATTCCATTGTGTGAATGTACCACAGTTTTTCTAGTCGTTCATTTGTTGATAGGCACCATGATATTTTTAATTGCTTCCTATACATGGGGGGTAGGTGTGTCAGTGATAATAAGATTAGCAAAGGATAGAACAAGGTTTAGGGCTGTTGTACATAGGGTCATTATGAGTCACAGGTGACTGGACAGCACATAACAACAACATACACCTGAGAGTTGGACAAGAAGGATGACCAAAAATAAAATCAATGTCTTTGAATTGTGGTGGTGGCAAAGAACACTCAATATTCCACTGAGTGCCAGTAGAACAAACAAGTCTGTCTCGAAGAAAATGCAACAAAGGTGCTCCTTAGAGGCAAGGATGATGCAACTCCATCTCACATACTCTGGGCATGTTAGAGGACAGGACAGTCCTTGGAAAGAAGACATTATGCTGGGAAAGGTAAAGAGTCAGAGAAAGAAAAGAAAATCCTCAAGAAGATGGATTGAAAAGGTCACTGTAATAATGGGCTTGAGTATTTTAGAGATGGTGAGAATGGCACAGGGTGGGCAAGGTTCAGATCTGTTGATCACAGGATCGCTATGAGTCACAATCAACTTGGCAGTACCTAACAACAACAACAACATACTAATGCTTAAAAACTAAGGTGTGCCAGATCCAAACCACAGTATTTTCAACTGCTTCTTATGTATCTGAATTTTGTACAATGAATAATGACGACCCAAGAATTGATGCCATTGAATTGTGGTAGGAGTAAAGGGTGCTGAATATCACATCCACTGCCAAAAGAACAAACAAATCTGTCTTGGAGTAAGTGCAATTAGGATACTTTTACAGTTAAGGATGGTGAAACTTCACCCTTTGTTATCAAGAAGTTCCAATCTTTGGAAAAAGACATCATACTGGGAAAGGAGGAAGGTCAGAGAAAGAGAGGAACATCCTCAAAAAGATGAATTTACAAAAAAAAAAAATTAAAAAAAAAAAGATGAATTTACAGTGACTCTAACAATAGGCACAAGCAAGTTGGAAATAGTGAGGATAGGGCAAGGTTCTCATCTATTGTTCATAGGTCCATTATGAGTAGCAATCTTGATGGCAACTAACAACAACATACTTGTGTTGTCAATCATTCCCAAATGGGATTGTACCATAGGGGTTGAGATTTATAACACATATTTTTAGAAGACAATTCATAACAAGGCTCTTTATTTCATTTGCATAACCGTAAATGTTAAAGATTTAAAATTAATCTTAATCTAAAATCTTATCTCTTATTAAACCTTATTTTATTTGCATAATCTTTGAGTTATGGTGCTGGAGAAGAGTCTTGAACATGGACCACCAAGAAAACAAATAGTTAAACCAAGCTTCTCCTTGGAGGCTAGGATTTTAAAAAAAAAATTATTATTTTTTTTGTGTGTACTGTCAAATTGGATCTGACTGGTACAGGAGGAGACTGGCCCTCCTTTTCAAGCACAGGATCTGGCGGATCTGAACCGCAAGCCTCTGGGATTGCAGTGCAGCTTCTTGCCACTAGGCCACCAGAGCTCCCTGGAGACTAGGATTTTAAAGCTCCATCTCACATACTTTGGGCACATGGCCAAGAAGGATCAATCCTTAGAGAAGGACATCATGCTTGGAAGGGTGGAGCGACAGCACAGGCACAGCACAGGCGAGGAAGACCCCAGATGAGACGTATTGATACAGTAACTAGGGCAATGGGGGCAGGTGTGTCAGAGTCATTGAGACTGGCACAGAACAGGGCAGGCTTCAGAGCTATTGTACACAGGTTTGCTGTGAGTCACAGACAACTTGACAGCACATAACAACAACAAAAACAATCTTAAATGTAGGCTTTACAATGTACAGATATCTATCAAAGATGATTTGAGTGTCCTCATCTTACGCAGACCTATCATTTTTATTTACTAACTTTTTATTATTAACTATTGAGGGTTAATATGTATTTATTAGAGAGTTCTAGAAGAGAACTTCTAGGATTTTACCTGAGTTCTTAATACTTTTATTACATCTACATGAACTATGATATTTTAAGCAATTCAAAGAAAAAAAGGGAATATAAAATGAATTTTTTTACTTGTAGAAAGTAAATCGACTGATCTACGTAATCACTAAAGAACAAAATTTCAAAACAACCAAGTAGAAAATTTACCTTATGTTTAGGGATTGAATGAAATTTAATTTACATTCCTTAAGAATTCTCTGACCAAAAATTTTAAGAACTCCAACAAAGAATCTCTAACAGTAATAATAGTAAACATTACAAGATGTTTGTATGTATGTTCTAGACACACATTCTCATTTAATTCTCACAGTAATTATTTATTAGAAAAGTGCTATCACTGTCTTCATGTTAAAAATAAAGGAACTGTAAGCAATGAAATTAATGCACTTCTCCAGAGCTGTGGCTAACAAAATAGTAAACTTGCCGGAATATATTCACTCCAGAGGCTGCACTCTGTACTTTTTATACTTAGATACAGCACTTCTTAAATGTACATAAAAGGCTACATTTAAGCACATTATACCATTTTCCTCCATTTTAAAAAATAACACTGACTCGATACAATAGTTAAAATGAATAGCACTTAGGCCTTGGAAATTTAAAAGCTTTTCAAAGGAAACATTTAGGTCTCAAGGCCCTATTTACATTCTATATTCTGCAGCATCTATCTGCATAAGGTAAGATCTGGAAAGTCTCGAGCATGGAATTAATTAAGCTGAAGAACTTACATCTCAGGCAACAGTATTTCCTGATGTCTTGAGGAATCCAAATGACCTGTAAGCAGATATAAAATAGAACCAGTTAGCAGAGTTGTTTCTGTCCATATACCCTGCCTTGACTTCTTCATTACCAAGTAAACAGCATTATTTTTAAAAGCTAAGCTTCCTACCCAAAATCTCTGTAAATGTTCATTAAAATTATTTTTAAAAAAATTCTTTGTAAAAAAAAACAACCTAGAGATGACTTAATAAAAACATCTGAAATTAAAAAAAAAAAAAAAGCTAAGCTTCCAATATACAGCCTTCCCTTAGGTACTAATATTCATAGAAAATAATTTCACAAGAAAAATGCTGAAAAACAGTACTGGAGTCTATGGAGTCTTTTATGAGTAGAAAATGAAACTTATCATTCAGAAAATCTGAAATAATAACAAATATTGAACTCTGATGGCCTAGTGAGTAAGAAATTACACTGCTAACCCAGAGGGAGGGAGTCTGAATCCACTAGCTTCTCTTAGGAGAAAGACAGGAATGTGTACTTCACAGCCTCTGAAAACCTGCTAAAGGATTCGCCATGGGTCAGTTCTGATTTTACAGCAAAGAGGTGTTTGGGGGGGGTTTTCCTAGGATGGATGACTAGTGAAATACGTTTCTTTTCAGGAAAACCTATTAAACACTAGTTTTAGATGACAAAGCATTTATCAATTAGCTTTTCTGCCTCCGCTAAGTTTAGACTATTGCACAAAACTTGTTCTTCCTGTATAACTTTTTTAAAAGCAGTTGACTCCAATTAATGTTATAATCTTCCTACTAGTTTAATGAGTCTCCTAGAAAATCTTCTATTTACCAAACAATTCCAATATTAAGTTTTTCCCCCTACTTTCACCACCTTTTATCTTTATCCTACAAATTTGTCCTCTCTCTCATGCTATTCTTCCCACTGAGGTCAGGTCTTTACTTCCCTTCTTCCTACCAGTTTCATCAAGTTCAGCAGGAGTGGTAAGCTGATTAGCAGACATCTCCCCACTACTAAGATCTGAAAGATCAAGGCAACGTTTTGGGGTACCTCTGTCAAGACATAATAGAACATCAAAATTTCCTTTAGGCTTTAATATCTTTAAAAGGAAAGATCTTACCATTTTAATTTGCAACATTCCTCAATAATTATTACAAAATCTTAACAGTATCTAATAAGACTTTTTTATATATTTTAGACTAATCATGGAACAAACAAATGGTATTTTCAATTGCTATGTACATATATAAAAGGTGGACAATGAATAAAGAAAACTGAAGAAAATTGATGCCTTTCAATTGTGGTGTCAGCAGGGTATTAAAAATACCATGGAGTGCCAAAAGAAAAAAATATTGTCTTGAAGGAAGTATAACCTAGAGGCAAGGATGGTGACATTTTGTCTTACATACTTTGGGCATGTTATAAGGATGGACCAGTGTTAGGAAAAAGACAACATGCTTGAAAAAAAATGGAGAGTCAGAGAAAGAGAGGACAAGCCTCAAAGAGATATACTGACATCAGACTGTAACAATGGGCATACTGAAGGACGTGAGGATGGTGCAGGATAGAGCAAAGGCAGATCTTTTGTTTATAGTGTATGACTTGTGGTCAACTTGATGGCACAACAACAAAGGAACAAGACACACTGGTGGAGCAGTAAAGTGGTTAAGTAGTCAAGCGGTGCTTAGCTGCTGATCAAAGATGAAACCTATCAGCTACTCCAAAGAAGAGTCTGTTTTAATAAAATTTAAAAACTTTGAAAACTCTGAGGCTGTTTTTCTCATAATCTATGCCTCACTTTCTCCTCACTAGCATATGAATAGGTTATTTGTTTAAAATCAAAGGCTACATGTCTGCAATGGGAAATAAGGACACATATTTGATTGCTCCTTGGCTTATCCAGTCTGCTGAGGTATCAAGATATGGTATTACCAAAATTTAAAGTACAAGTACATTAATAGTAATAAAAAGAAAGTGTGCAAAGACTTTCCACAGTCATTACCATTAGTTACTAGATTTGAACATGATTCTGGAAAGATAGCTTCTTTAATGTCATAGAAAAGATGTCTGACACTAAAAATGGGTCACTGTCAAAAGGACACGAATATGGTCTGAAAAACAATGTATTTGAATTCGGTAAACAAACTAGTATAAATTAAAAAAAAAATAGTAGTGAGACACTCAAACCCTTTTCTTTGCTACTGGTGGGTGCCACCCAGTGGCTCTATCTCATACTGACTCTGCTTAATTCTGTGCCATCCTCATAATCTCTGCTGTGCTTAAACCCATTCTTGTAGTAACTGTGTCAGTGCATAGCACTGAGGGTCTTCCATTCTTCACTGACCCTCTGCTTTTCCAAGTATGATGACCGCCTTCAGGGACTGGTCCCTCCTGATAACATGTCCAAAGTGTCAGGTTGCTAACCATAAGGTCAGCGGTTCAAATGCACTAGGTGCTCTGCTGGAGAAAATGGTCAGGCTTCCCACACTCGGAAACCCTGTAGATGGTCCCTGAGTCCAATCTACTTGGCAGTGGCAAGATATCAGGGACAAGATAACGTATAAACAATAATAAACATGTTGGGAAAGGAAAAGAGGTTAAGATCTGATATTGAAAAAAAAACAAAACCGGATTCGTTTACCCAGATGAAAAGCTTAGGTTTCCAGAATCACCAAGGTGTTTATCCACAGGAGTTTTCGGGAGATTTGGACCGATGGTAAAGGAAGTATCTCTCTCCATCAGAAGGTTTAGCATCTTCCTCTGACTAGCTCTAAAACTGGACCTTGAGCCAGGACTTCCCTCTTCTCTTGTAGATGAGAAGAGATTTGCAGACATGTTCTTAAAAAAAAAAAAAAAAAAAGCCTATATAGGAGGATAAAATCATCTACATTAAGTACATTACATAAGTCCTTCCCATCCTTTCCAAAAGCAGTCAAGCGGATCAGTACTGGAGAAGAGTTATCCCCAAACTTACCGAGAAGCAGTTCTGGGCTTATTTAAAGAAGGTTTTGACTTGTCCGAGGGCCAGGCAGCTGAGAGCCCTCACAGAAAATCAGGTCTCGAACGTGCAACACTTAAAAGGATCTCTGGACTTGGTTTTCCTGGGCCCCAGCTGGATCCAGAAGAGGCAATGAGCTCTCCCAGATTCCTGGGTGTAGGCAGCTCCTGGCCTCGTTCAGGTTTGGGGTCTGATCCTTGACTTCTTAAGGAGGTTATCTGATAAAAGCGAGACTTCCAGCAGAGTTAGAAGAGCTAGCAATCTGGGGAAAGAACACAGCTAATCAGACTAAAATTTTGCTTCTCGGTTAAGTAGGTCCGATTCAGGGTTTGCAGCTTCTCTCCGGAGAGAGCGTAAATTACCGTTTCAACACAAAAGTATCAACAGCCCGTAGCTAATTGCAATCATTCAAACCTTCCGCTCTCCCAATAACCTAACGACGCTGGCCTCTAAACTGCGCAGGCGATCTTGACGTACCCTCCAAGATCCTCCAAGCCAATCATCAGGCTCATACATCACCTCAGGGTGGGAGCTTCTTCTGGAACAGCACTACTGGCCCCGCCCCAGTGCCAGAATGGGGCGGCGATTGGCCAACTGCCTTTTCGCAAAAGGCTGCATAAGCCCCCGCCCCACGGAAAATATGGCATACCATTGGCTCTCTCTCTAGCCAATCGCTACATCCCCTTTGCGCTATTTCTCTTCCCGCGGCTCCACCACCCTCCGGAGATTTAAATTATGACTGCTTGCTAGGTCTTGAGTACCCCGTTTGGGTGGGAAGATTTGGTAGTGTTTTCTTTGCCCCTCCCTTCTTATTTCTCCAGCCGTTACGTGAACTTTCTCTTAGTTTTGCTAGCTGTCCACTGGAGATGGAGCAGTTGCCACCGGCGCGGCAGGCGTTGGGAAGTGACAGGTCTGTACGTAATCAAAGCAGCTTAGCCCCCTTGCAAGAGCTTCAGCTACCCTTTTGAGCGGCAGCATCTTAGTCCGTAGGGAGCTGTGCTGCTAACCCAAAGCTGGCATCTCTGGCATTTTGAATCCACAAACTGCACGACGGGAGAAAGATAAGCAATCTCCTCCTGTGCAACTCCACAGCTTCTAAAAACCCCTGAGAGGTCAGCTATGCAACAGCTCAATTGAATGGCAAAGAGGAGTCTACGGCATTAGGTTATGTAGGATAAAAGAAAACTCCTTAGCAGGAGAAAAATAAAGAAGTGGAATAATTTCTTGGCATAATTCTTACAATTCAAAGGATTCCAGTCTTTAACTCTGCCATCAAAATTTGTCTTTACTGACTGGTATTAACGGATCCCTGATGGTGCAGTGGTTAAAGGTTTAGCTGTTAAAGGTCGGTGGTGTTGGACCCATCTCTTCTTTGTAGAAGAAAATATTTGGCAGTCTCCTCTCTAAAGATTTCAGCCTAAGAAACTTTATGAGACAGTTCTAGTCTGCTATACAGATTTGCTGAGTCAGAATCCTCTTAACTCATAGCAAAAGGTAGTAAATCATTAATTTTGAGGATTTGCTTCTAAGTGATGAGGTGCTGTGGGATGGTGCATATAGATAAAACAAGATGGGTCGCAAGTGTTGTGTGATCAGTATGCTTAAAAAAACTTAAGCTAATTGTTTACAAACTTTGTTGACAACCTATTCATATTTGACTCTTCACTGGACATTAGAGGCTGTAAATAGCACTGAAGGAAACTGCTTGTCTTTTTCCTTTGGAGCCGCTGATGGGTTGCAGCTGCCAGTGAGAGTCAATCTTGGGGTAAACAGCTCAACTCCATACAGAGGAGCTGTCATGTTGGAAGCTTACAGCAGGTTTTTAGAGGCTGTAAATTGCACGAATGGAGACTGTCCACTTTTCACAGAACAGCTGGTGGTAGATTCAAACAGTATGCCTTTGGGTTCGCAGCTCAACTCCTTACCATTACAAATGCTCCCTAATATACAGATTCTGACTCAGTAAATCTAGTCTGGGACCCCAGGATTCTGCACTGCTAACACGCTCTTAGGTGATGCTTGCTGATGAAGCTAACACTGGGAGTTATCACACTTTGAGTGATGTGGCATTATGTTATTCTCTACTGCTGTGTATATTTTAAATTTTCCATGCTAAAATGTTTAAAATAACTAAGGCTTCAAACCAGTTTGAATTACCTTTCCACTTCAGATACACTGAACAGAATTTACAGTTTAACAAGATGCCAGGTGATTTTTACATACACCTGTTAAACTAGATCCTTCTGATTCAGGATATCTGGGGTAGAAAGGCAAATTCTCTGTAGAGGGTCAAACTGGTTTGAAGCCCTGAATATAATCTTGGAAGCTCTTGAAATTGCAGGAGCTCCAAATACTAATTCAATAGGTTCTAGAGTGAGGGCCAGGAATGATTGAGGCTCCCCAGGTGCCTCTGAGAAAATGTAAGTCAGAAATAACCACCTTCAGGATCTTCGTGGTGGTGGTGGCTGAGAAGCATTATAGTCAGTTAGTTTTTACTCTAACAATACCTGCTTTATCTGTAGAAACTGCTTCCCCAGAACGGAGATGTGTGAGGAATTTTTGTCCTCTAGGATAGAGATGGTGAGTGTGGGAGTCAGCACAGAGCCATGCCATGCCAGGTACGTCTGAAAATTAGGAATTCAGAGTACATGATTAGTTGGTTGTACTTTGATGACTCTTAATCATACTTTGTGGCGCACTGTGTACCTCCCCACAGGTGGGAGGTAGAAACAGATGAAGCTGTCCTGCAGCGGCGCCAAAAGCAGATAGATTATGGCAAGTGCACACCTGGTTACCAGTGCTTTCTGCAGCAGGTCCCCAAGTGAGTTCAGCTGTGGGGTGACCACAATAAGTTGCTTTGATTCAGTTTCAGGGGATGGAAACATACTCAGATCTGAATGTTTTAAATGTTCTCATAAAGTTGCAGAAATACTAAAACCAAGTTTCTTGCATTCTAACCCTAATGCTTCCAGGATTTTTTTTTCTTTCCCAAGTGGAACATGTCATATTGGGCCCATATGCTTAAAAAACTATTATGGTAAAATATATGCAAGAAAATATTTCAACAATTATACCTGCACAATTCAGTGACATTGATTTTATTCATTACGTTGTGCAACAATCAACATTGTGATTCCAACTTTTTTCATTACCCTTACAAAAATTCTGTATCCCTTAAGTAATATTCCCTATTTTTCTTCCCCACTTGCCCTTCCATATGACTTTTAAAAGCTCAGTTTCCTAATGAGATGGTAAAGGGCACGTTTTGGTGGCACTGTCTGTAACAAGTTTCCATGCTAACCCAAAAGGCTGAATCTCCAGTGGTCTGAATCCAACTAGTGGCTCCTTGAAGACAGGCACTCTCCTCCCATTACTGTTTAACATAAGGAAGTGGTTTTCCTTCCAACCATCTTTATCATACCTCACCTTGACTTGTTAACTGCAACATGCTTGCCCAACTACATGTAACTTCACAGGCACAGTACTAGTGTTGTGAAGGCTCGAAGCTACTAGCAAGACGCACAGGAAGCAACTGAAAAAGGAGCAGTTTTACTCTATCCTTCAGGGTTGCTAGGAGTTGGAACTGACTAGATAGTAGTATGTTTGGTTTATACAAATTAAATATATGAAAATGTCGGATTTATTTTGTGATGAAGTGAAATATTTTCTGTCTACCGAGATTTCCAGAAATAAATATCACTCACCTTTTCCAGAAGAAAGAATATTAGGGAGGCTGAATGGTGTTTGATCTGAAGATCTACTTTGTTGTTGTTGCACTCAGGGCACTGATTTTACCCATCTCAGGGAATTTATAACTAGGGTTCTAAATCACTGTGATAAGTAGTGAGCTGTGTTCCCTGCTATATAGAGTCCCCTTTCACACTGACCTCAGTTTGATCCACATTTATCATTGCCAGGGCACATCGACAACCAGGGCTTCACCCTCAAACGCCCAATAAGAACAGAAGGTACAGCCGTCGCTCCTGGGATGCCCAGATTAGACAATGGAGAAGAGCCCTGCATTTCTGGGACCCACCCAGTCAGTGCCTGCCAGGCAGAGTGGCTACAAGGTGTGTGAACTATTCCCAGTTCCTTTAGTGAGTGGCTAAGTCCTACATTGTTCCACTTCGCAGCGATTTATCATTCTATGGAGGAGGAGGGTCTGAATGAAAGGCATTATTACTCTGTTGCTTTCCTAGGCAGAGAATGGAGAGTCTTTTAGAACAAATGGACTCCACCCCTTGGGATAATTTCCTGGATGACCTGCTCCAGGCCCTTGGAACTCTCAGAGAATCTGGATAAAAACCAAGTAGACCCTGTACTGAAACCAACTAGAGCAGGGTCAGAGACGGCATGTAGACCATAAAGGCACAATTAAAATGGGAGTTTAATAATAGCATCCCCAAAACTAAAGCGTGCGTTAGGGAAAAATGACAAGCCATGGCTTTAAAATCTTGAGGATTAGGAGACTATAAAAGGATCCTTAGCAGCACAATGACTGTTTGGCTGCTAACAGAAAGGGTAGTAGTTCAAATCCACCCAGTAGCTTCTTGGGAGAAAGGTCTGGCACCTAACAACAATAGCAGCAAACAGTTATTGTTAGTACTAAGGACATTGAGCTATATTGGGTGCTATTTTATGTTTGATGAAAGGTGGTAACTTCTTTGGAATGAGTCTTAAAGTGTGATGTGCAATTTTTTTTCAAGTGTCTAAATTTTTTCCAATGTTAGTCTAGGCTAAGTTCTTAACCATTTAACTTTTGTTAAGTATGTTGTTGTTAAGTGCTGTCGAGTCACAGGGGACTCATAGCGACCCTATGAAGGGAGTCCTCAACGCTTGGGTGTCTGTCATCCTCTCTCCAGGTTCATAGGGTTTCCCTACACAAGCTATTATGGAAGTGAAGGGGGGAAATGAGATATAGAGTAGTGTCTTACATAGCCAGGGTTTTAGTCTCGGAAGATATTTTTAACACCGTCTTTGCTCATAATTTGGACAGTCACCTAAACTCTTGGGCTGTTTTATCTGTCATATAAGGTGAATATTGTCTCAACTGGTGATTGTAAGCAAAAATCAGAATACATATTTAAATTGCACAGTGTATAGTACATAGTAAATGCTCAACAAACGATTATCGAAAACAATTTCTCCTATGCTTCATGGTCCCTGCCTCTTTTTCACCAAGAGGAAAAGTGCAGTACAAGGTAAAACCCCGTCTGACTTTCTTGTAAGTACCTCATTTTTTCTCCATTCTTTTTTTTTTTTTCTCCTCCAGTTTCCTGATTTGGTAGCACCTGCTTTGTCCATTCCCTGGCTCACAGAGGAAGACCTCTACCGTTGACTACTTCCTAATGAATCACAGTAGTTTACCTGGTCAACCTTTGGAGCTGGAACACAAAATATTTAGAGAAAATATCTGTCTTTCAGGGGACTTGTTGCTAAGTGTACTAGTGAAGATTACTTGCATTACTCTCAGTTCCAAATCAATTAAAAAAGAAATCTAAAACTAACCTACACAGATCACAACACGAAGGCATTGTTTAAAATCTTCCATTTTTCCATCTGTTTGTGTTTTTCTGAACCACCATTGATGCTAACTTAGACTCAAATTTACATAAGAGTCAGAAACCATCTAACTGTTCCCCAACCTTTTCATCTGCTACTAAGGTCTCTTAAAAGGATTTCAACTTCGCCTGAGATGGGAGGAGGAGGTGGTGGTGGTGGTGGTGGTGGTGGTGGTGGTGGTGGTGGTGGTGGTAGAGGTAGAGGTAGAGATTTAAATAAAAGGTGGTTTTCCTCATCCTCAAGAGGAAATAGCGCCGTCAACATCTTTTCCCCATCTGCCTGTTTGCTCCCTCCCTCCGTCTTTAAAAAAAAAAAGCGGTCCAGATGTAACCACTGTACCCATCTACCTCCCTTTCCCTCCTCCCCCCCCCCCGCCCCCGCAAGCATCTGAACCGCCTATGATGTCATAATCACAATCCCATTACCTCATCCTGATTGGGGGGGGCGTAGAAGGAGGAGACACAGTAGCCAGCCTGGGCCCTCTCCAGCTTTCCAAAGTGTTCTGGGTGAGGGCTAATTACGGAACCAATTGGGAAGAGCTCTACAATCGTTAGAATTCCTGGGTTTATAAGGTTCGGAAACGATCTGGCAGCTGAAAAGGTGCACCAGGGACTCCAAGCAGGCCCTAATCGGCGCGCGGACTACATTTCCCGGCTGTCTTCACGCCGCGGACGGGTCCTCTGCAGGGGGAAAGGGGATTCCTCACTAGAGGCGGCGGTATGGGGCCGGACTGGAGAACAGGTGAGAGGAGCCTAGGGTAATAATAGTACGTCGTTCGAACCAAATGGAAAACGGCTTTTGCACTGACGGCAGAAGGGAGGGCAGGGGCGATACCTTTGTTTACCTTCATCAGGCACCGCTTCCCCCGTGAGTTTGAAGATATGCTTCCAGCTGGGCACGTCCATATTCTTCGATATTTTAGGGGGGTGACTCAGTGGAGAGGAAATCATCCTCATCCCTAAATCAAAACGCAAGGCTCCTTTCGGATAGCGCTGTCGGAGAAAGATTTTGAGAGAGCGTCGACGCTAGGGCCCGGGTCCCCGCGGGCGGCTCCGGAGGAATCTTCCAACTGGTGTGATCCTCCCACGCTCCTCAGGGGCCCATTGGTTGGCGCCGGCGCCTTTTAAGGGCACCGTGGGGCGAACGGACCGCTCAGAGCTGCTCCGGCCGCGGCCCAGGGAGCTGTAGGAGCCGCGGTAGGTGGCGGAGGGCAGGTGGCGCCGGGGCCTTGGGGCGGGCACCTCTGCTGTCCCTCCTCCGCCCTCCCCTCCCCCAGCCCGGCCGCCCGCGCGCTTGGGCCTCGCAGGCCGCCTCCGCGGGGCGAGCACGGGACCTGGTGGGGGAGGGGGAGGGGGAATGCTCAAGTCCCAGACCCTCTCAATCCCTTGCATTCGAGTTCGTTTCCCTGAGCCGGATGATGGCAGCTGAGTGAGAGGAGGCAAACGACAGGCCCCTTGAGCGAACCCTGCCGCCCCCCCCACCACCAGGGGCCAGCGGATGCTCAATGCCCCACCCCACGGGGACAGGCAAGGCAGCAAAGGGAGAGGTTGAAGATTGGAGGGGGCCTAGCCTTTTGCTTCTTCATCGGGGTTGGGGGAGGGGTGCTCCCCACTTGTCACCCCTGTACCAACCAGAGCCATATGGAGAAAGAGCAGTCTTACCCACTTACCTGTGCCTGCACCTCCCTGCCTGTCTTGTTTTCCTTTAGTCTCCCCCAGAGGTGTGGGGCTGGGACCTGGGGGCCTGGTCCCCAGGGGATTTGTGATTCTCCTCCCCTTAGCTTGACTTGGTCCTAGGTCCTTCAGGTTTCTGCACAACCTCAGCATCCCTGAGGCCTGAATGTCAGTTGTTCCTGCCATGTATGGGAGTTTGTGTGGGGGTCTGATTTTAGGGGGTTTGTGGAGGATGGAAAATCTAGACTAAGAGTTGGGCTAGTGGGGTTGTGGGGAGGGCCTCGAGGCCTGCTGCTCAGTGAAGGGTTCATGTTATTAAGCGGAGAAGTTTTAACTTGTTTGGTGAACGTTCAGGGCTCTCTACCCTCAGATACACAAAATGGAAGGGAAAACAAGGCAACAAGAGAGGGCTCCTTAGACTTTTTCAGTGCCCACACCAGAAAGAGCAGGCCCCTCGCGGAGCTGGTTTGCCTTCTTTTGTGTCCTGGTTTGATTCCTTATGGCTTCCGTTCTGTTCCCCCTCTCAGCCTGGCCTGTTTTAGGAAACTCAGCCTGAGAGTATCAGTTGCGTGTTGGTAGTTGCATTGTTCCAATTACCGCCGTGTGTGGCCATATCCCAACAATTAAAATGCAGAAAAACACAAAATCACTCTCTTCACTTGGTCCCAAAGAGGCCAGAGAGTTTGCCGTTTGGCCAAATGCCTCATGAAAAGCTTGAAAGAGTTTGCTTCGCTCCCTGCTCCTCAATGGCTGGTCAGCCTGTGAGGCCTGGAGTAAAAGCTTACACTCAGGTTCCCTTTCTGGTTGGCCTTTGAGGACAGTTAAGAAACTAAGAGCAGAAGTGATACAAGGATTAGCTTCTGCCCCAGGAATTTAGGGGAAACAACTAAAAGGGAGCTCTCAGGAAACTATAGGACTTTGTTCAGAGTGGTGGTACTAATGCATGAAAACAAACGATAGTTAACTGTAATGATCATTGACTTCTCTGGCACCTTTTCCCAAAAAACTCTCCCAAGTATATTCAGATGTATTTCTTTACTCTTTGTGGTCTCCTTCTAAGGTGGGAATGAAATGAGGATGATGCCATCTTTTTTTGTAAAAGTAGAGTGATCTGCCCCCAAGGTCACAGAAGAGCCCTCTTGGGCTTCTGTTGGTAAGAAGCCAGAGATAGATTCTTATTGCCTTCCTCATCTTCATGATATCATCACTTCTGGCACCATGGGGCTTTAGAGTAACAAACAGGAGGGATGAGAAACTGCAGCCAGTGGACTCCTGATTTGTATAGGCCAGATGGTATGCTTTTGTACATTATTCACATTTCATGTTATGTTGTTCTCCTACTGTTTGGCATATTATTCTGCCCGTTTTACTTATGGGTAATCTGAGGCCAGGGCAGGTTAAATGGTTTTAGAACTAACAGAGAAAGTTGTAAAGGTACAGATTTCTTGGTCTTTTGTTTTCTATACGGGTAAATACTACATGGTGAGTTGTCTGCCTGGTGGTCATTTTTGGGAATGAAGAGAACAAAACTATTGTGACACTAAGTTAACCTCTCCAGGTCCCTTGAGTAAGGCCCCTCAGGCAATTGTGTGCTGAAGAAGCCTGTTCTCTGATGAGTTGGCTTGTTTCTACCAGAAATTGACCCCGGAGAGTTTTAATTAATTGTATTCATAGTCTTTGTGATAGATTAGCCTAAAATCTTAGTTTAATGGAATCAGAGTTGCTTTTATTATCCATACAGTTGAAATGTAATGGAAATTACCCTGATAGTAGTCCTTTGTCCTCTTCCATTTTACCACATTATTACTCACATCTGTTGGAAAATAATATATCAAATGCTTAAGGTAAGGGAGGACATAAAATCTCATTTTAATTGGTCTGAAGCAAAAAAAAAAAAAAAAATCCTATAACTGCCAAACCTTTCTCTTCACCATTAGAATGCTTAGAGTTTAGGAGAGAGTACTTCTGTTCTCTTTTGACCCTGACTGTAAGTTAAAATATTGGATTAATCAAGATGGGAATAACAATTTGGGCATCCCTTTCTTTTCCTTTTCGCTGTTTTCCAAGTGGTACTGAGATTCTGGATAGACTTAAGCTGAATATGAACCAGGTTAGTAATGGCAGTAAGTCTCAGCTTGCTTGTCAACTCCAGTTCATTTTACTGGATATCTGTAGTGCCAAGTTCAGAGTGTTTCTGAGGAAGAAGCCTAAGACTTTGTTTAGGATTAGCAAGAAAGAACTGTGATCCATTAATAATGTCTGCCAGAGGTATAGGGGTGCTGTGGTATGTATGCCATGCATTTTCCATCTCTGGACCAGGTACATCTCTAATATCACTTGGGGCTGGTCCCTCTGTAATTGGCAGACTCAGCAGGCATGACTGGAGAGGGAAGTCCCAATGGTGCTAGAATGGTGCTGCAGTGGCAGAAGACGGCTCACGAGTGAGGTCTGGAAGAACAACAGGGAAGACATCCATCATTTGCTCCAAAGTGTGCAAGTCAAATCCTGGGGAGAATCATGATAACCCTGATCACTGAGCAGCTGCAGAAGCAGACTCTGGATGAGCTGAAATGCACACGCTTCAGCATCAGTCTGGTAAAAGACCAGTCTTCCTGCTTCTCCACGACCCCCCCTCCTTTTTTCTGAGGCTGTTTGTTGCTACTACTACACCCTGTCCTGTGCTGTATGAATCATGGTACTTACACTGAAGAGCCCATTGAAGGCTCAAAACCCAGCCCAAAAGGAAGGGGGCAAGGGATTGTTCCACTGATGTAGAAGGGACACTAAAACTTGGGTGGAGAAGGGTTTGAGATGTTGGAAGATGTGGATTGTTTTACTGACTAACTTGGGAAGACAAGAGGAAGAGAACACTTAGGAGTCCCTCACATCCCTACAGTCCACAAATTTCAGGGATGAGCTGAAGAGGGCGTCCCGAAAATCTTTCAGCGTGTTCTGAACTCAAATGACTGTGGATATTCTCTCTCTCTTAGCCTTTGCCTGATCATGCAGACATCTCCAATTGTGGGAACCCTTTCCAGCTTGTGTCTGGTAAGGCATCTTTATCTGTGTGTTTGCTTATGTGAGAGAGTTGAGTGTGTGTATGCCTATACCTGCATTCATACATTTCGTCCATTGACTTCCAGTCACTAGCCTGTCTGCAGATCTTGATTGCAAGGAGCACCTTCAAAGGTTACCATTTGTTTCTACTGCTCCAGGATGGAAGTTACCTATTTGATTTCCTCTTTTTCCAACTTTGTTGAGACTTTCTTTTTTTTTTTTTTTGAGACTTTCATATTCTGATTTTTTTTTAAAGAGGCAGTAATATTCACATGACTCAGAATCTTTTTTAATAACAAAAAGGCTTCGTGGAGAAAAGTCTCCCTTGCACTCATACTTACTCCCTATTTACCAGCTTCCATCATTTTCCTAAAAGTAAGTAACCCTTGTTAGTATTAGTTTCTTAATGATCCAGCCAGAGCTGCTTTATACAAATGAAACCAACATAATGTATATTCTTAGTCCCACTATTTTGTTCAATATAAAAGTTTCTGTACTGTATATGTTACTCTATATTGATTTTTTTTCCTTTTAACTATTTTTTGTAAACTTAAATTTCATTAGGAGATACTCCTTGTGAATACATTGAGGAGTCTTTTTTTTTTTACTATCAGCATGTTGCATTGTTAGAGGTAGCATAGTTTAATCTGTTGGTTCTCATTTAGATCATTTTGAGTCTTATGACAAAACTTTGCTGAATAACCTTGTACAGATGCCGTTTTGCATATGTAAAAAGATATCTAAGGTATAAATTTCTATATAATGAATTACTCCATCAGAGATTTTGTGATTTTGTAGACATTAAGATGAAGTGAGTGTTGCTAGGCCATTATACATCTTGTTTTGTTTTCTGGGATACCTGACAAGGAAAATGTGTTGGCAGAAGCTTCTCCACCCAACCTCTGTCTCCTGTTTATTAAATATTTCCTGGGAGCCAGGTACTGCCCTATAAGTATACAACAGGTACATGATTCCTGCTGTCATGGAGATTAATGTAGGGGAGCTGTTGACCAAGTAAAGTAAAATGTGAGTTTTCTCCATCATCATATCTGAACTCCATATACTTGTTAGTTGCTTCAGATATCCTGCAAATACCAGCCAGCTAATCAGAGAAAGTTGTACAGTTTGGCCTAAATAGAGAGAGCGAGAACCATTCCTTGTAGTTTGTTTCCTCTCCCATTATGGTCTTCCCATTTTGTTTGGATTTTTAAAAAGGCTCAAGAAAGAAGAATGGGGTGGGGGAAGCTGTCCCCAAATACATAAGTAAAGGCAGTAGGAAGTCTTAAGTGTTTCCCAGGCATGGGTTCCTCCACAAAAGCCTTTTTCCTAACCTCTTTGGTTTAGGGAGCTGGGAGCTCTGTTGGTGTAGTCTATAGGGAGTTGCACAGCTAACCAAAAAAAGTAATCCCTCTGTAGCCCCTCTGTCAGTTTGAACCCACCAGCAGCTCCATGGGAGAAAGATGAGCAATCTCCTGCATGATTTACAGCCTTTTATAACCTGCTGGAGAGTCAGCAGTGAATCAGTTCCAACTTGACTGCAATGAATTTTGGTAGTGCATTAGAAAAAAAGTGATGTCTGTCTACTGTTTGGCAGCACATGGAAAGAAGAAAGACCTAGGAAGGAGTGGAGTGGGGCAAGAAGGTGCAGAGCAGGTCTGAGTGGAGTGGGGTAAGGGGTAAGCAGAACGTAAACATGCATATGTCTATTTTGACTTGCTTTGCCTTGGAGAGGGAACGTCAGAGAGTACATAACAGTAGATTTTAGATTTTAGGTGGCTTCACACAGTGGAAGCAATATAACAGTGGTTAAGGGTCTTGGGCTTGGCATCACTTAGGTTCGAATCCTTTGTACATTTAATTGCTGTATAGTCTTGGACAAGGGACAAGTTACTGGACTTATCTATGAAATGGAAATGATAATACTAATGCCCGTTGTTGTTGTTAGGTGCCATCCAGTTAAGCATGACTCAGTAACTCTGTGAACAGCAGGTGTTTCTCTATTGTTCATTGGGTTTCAGAGGCCTGTTTTTTAAGAAGTGGATAGCCAATTTGCTTCCTAGTCTGTCTTAATCTGAGAGTGCTACTAAAACCTATTCACCCTTGGTGAACATGAAGTTTGTGGTGGATAAATAAATATTATAACTTACCTAAAGTGACCAGTGCTCAGAATATAGATGTGCTGTTGTTGAATAGAGTTAACTATTGTTAATATTATTTTTAATATAAATGCCTTCCAGAAGGTGCTTCCTGGAAGGGCCTTCCCCAGTGTTCCTGTGCCGAGTTCCCGGACAGCCTCAACCTCAGCTACCACCCCTCAGGCTTGAGCCTGCACCTCAGACTACCCAGCCGGGGAAGCTCCCCACAGGAGCAACCCCTGCCCCAAGTCCTAGGCCCTGAACCCCCAGACCCAGAGAAGCTTCCTGTGACCCCTGCCCCTCCTTCCAAGAGGCACTGCCGCTCACTTTCAGTGCCCGTGGACCTGTCTCGCTGGCAGCCAGTGTGGCGGCCCGCCCCCTCCAAGCTGTGGACTCCCATCAAGCACAGGGGCAGTGGTGGAGGGGGCGGGCCGCAGGTGCCTCACCAGAGCCCCCCGAAGCGGGTCTCCAGCCTCAGGTTCCTCCAAGCTCCCAGTGCCTCTTCTCAATGTGCTCCAGCTCACAGACCCTACAGCCCCCCTTTCTTCAGCCTTGCTCTAGCCCAAGATTCCTCTCAACCCTGTGCTGCCTCCCCACAAAGTGGCTCCTGGGAGAGTGATGCTGAGTCCCTGTCACCTTGTCCACCCCAGCGCCGCTTCTCCCTATCACCCAGCCTGGGCCCACAGGCAAGCCGCTTTCTGCCCTCTGCCCGGAGCTCCCCTGCATCTTCCCCTGAGCTCCCCTGGAGACCGCGAAGTCTCCGCAACCTCCCCCGGAGCCGCTCACAGCCTTGTGATTTGGATGCCCGCAAAGCTGGGGTCAAGCGGCGCCACGAGGAGGACCCCCGGCGGCTGCGGCCTTCCTTGGACTTTGACAAGATGAATCAGGTGGGTCTGGCAGGACTAGGGGAGGGTGGATAGGAACTGAGGTCTCTGTTCTAGTCCTGCTGAGATCCATATTCAGCCTCTGAGTAGGAATCTTAGGGAGCCCCACTAAAGGCATTTACCTTCCTCTTAAAAGAAGCATAAGTCACAAAAGTCCCATCATCAGTGTCCCTACCCGCTCGTACTCTTGGTAGGTTTTGTCACTTGCTCGTCACTGTTTCAAATGTATCTGTGCGAACTTAAGTTACTACATCATCTATACAACAAATGCTTTTTGACTTTACACTATGATTGCAGTCGTTAAATTCACCTCCATGTGTTTTTACATTCTTCTAGGACACTTGAGTCACATGTCATACTGGTTGGTCTCCAATCATTTATCAAATGTTTATTAAATACCTACTGTGTACCAGCTTCTGACTCCTACCCACTGTGGTGGAGTCAGTTCTGACTCTGCTGTTTCTGAGACTTAAACCTTTATGGGAGGAGACTACCTGTCTTTCTCTCTCACACATTGGGTGGTAGATTCCAGCTGCTTACCTTTCTGCCAGCAGCCAAACATATAACACACTTTATACCACCAGGCACTGTACTTCTCACTAGATACTGATAATTTAATAGTGTAGATAATATCCCTGCCTGCATAGAGCTTATTATAAATAAATTTTTAATATTGAGTCTTTTGGAACCAGTGCTTTCTTTGAAGAACTATGCATGCACAGTAAGTTTTCCAGATTTTATCAGAGAATTCACCTATCTCATCCTAAAGCCGAGGACCCCTGTCTTCAAGAAAAACTGAAAGGGACCCTTTGAGAAATTACTTGGGCCAGGACACCCTCGAAAGTTAATGTTTTTCTTTGCCTTCTTAACTTTATTTGTTTGTTTGTTTGACAGAAACCATACTCAGGAGGTCTCTGTCTCCAAGATACAGCCCGGGAAGGCAGCAGCGTTTCTCCACCGTGGTTCATGGCCTGTAGCCCACCACCACTCTCTGCTTCCTGCAGCCCTATTGAGGGTTCCTCCCAGGTGCTGAGTGAAAGCGAAGAGGAGGAAGAGGGGGCTGTGCGGTGGGGGCGGCAGGCTTTAAGCAAACGGACACTGTGCCAGCAGGACTTTGGGGACCTGGACCTGAATCTGATTGAGGAGAACTAAAACCGAGAGAGGCTACTTCCTGGGGCCACACAGACTGACTCTTATGGCTACTAACAAGTGTCAAGGCCCCAAGGTCGGGGGCCCAGCCTGGGAACGGGGGTGAGTGGAGGGCTCCGACTCAGGGCAGCCGGAAATCTTCTCACTCAAGGAAGCTCGACCATGCCGAAAGACTGGCCGGGACAAGATAAATGGAGCTGGTGGCGGGAGGGACAGCCTCAGATCAGACCCTTCCCATGGCGGCCCTGAGTGTGAGTATCCCTGCCACAGAGAGAGCAATGGGCAGGGAAGGAAGGGGTCTGCTGACCCCAGCTCGGGGAATTTCACTAGCCCCTTTGCTTCAAAGGGCACTTGTGTCTTAGAATTTGGCCAGGGTTGGAGGTTCAGTCAGCCTCCTTGGAGAAATTGTGTGAGAGTGTGTGCGTGCATGGGAGTGTGTTCAAATAAGGTGTGCTTGCGTAGCCTTAGGGAAGGAAGGCATTTGTTCCTTAACAGCAGAGCATTATGATGCCCCAGGACCCTGAGTGTTCAGGAGACAGTAGGCTTAGTCAAGGAGTTAGAAGGGCACCAAATTTTCCTTGTTTCTAAATAGCTCTGGAGCCAAACTTTTATCTGTAAGCATCACTGGCTCTGTCAAGGACTCTGTTTTGGGTCTTTAAGTGCTGTGACCTCAGCTAATGGTCTTTTCCTCATCCCCACCTCCTCCCACTTGGTGGACTACACATTAGAGGTGAGAAAGGAGTCTACATTTATCCTGAGCTGGCATTTTTTTCCTCATCAGATTGCCTGAGCTATATATATCCTGCCTCTCTCTCGCTAAGTAGATGTGAACACATGCAAGCAACTGAGGCAGCTATGAAGGGGCTCCATCTTTTGCGTGTCCTTTCTATTAAAGGGACCTCCCTGACTTTCTGGGTCAGAGACAAGAAAGAGCCTGTGTTGGTACCTAGTATCTATTGAAGCAAATCTGCAGCGGGGGATTCAGTTTTTAGGCCCTGCTGGTGTGGGTGAACTCACCTCAGCACTACCCATTGGAAGCAGAGTAAGGAATCCTATTGTAAGATCCGAGCCTAGCCTCTTTTTCAGACCTGCTTGAGAAATGGGTGTCAGCATTTACTCATTTGCTTGTCTTCCACTCCTGCCAGGAAATGTTTATTTGCTTCTAATTGGCCCTGAGAGACCACAGGGTGGTTGAGGCTCACAAAGGGATTGGCTGAAGATGTGTAAAGCAAAGCAAAGCAAAGGCTTTGAGGAGCGTTTGGGAGTTTGTTGTTGGATTGAATTTCCCTTTTATTTTCCCTTTTTTCTTCTTTTTCTTTTGTTTCTTAGCCACAACTTGAGCCAGGGCAGCTAGTCTCATTGGCCAAAATGATGACTTTAAGGACTGCTAGTAACCATGATAAAGGCTGGCATCAGTGGAAATGTATACTAAAGTTGCCACCATAATAGCTTGTGAGGCTTTGCACAGCTACACTTAAGAGTGTAGGACCAAATTGAACCTGCCTTTGCAGGTTATTAGAAGAAAGTTTCCTTTCCATTTCTAAGATGTTAAGACTTAAGATGCTGATGTTAAGGAAAAGATCATGGTCATTATGTTCTCTTCCTTGTGGAGTTAACATTTTGTGAGTCTCCACATGTCAAATAAGAGCATCAGTGAAACTCCTGCCTCCTTGCCTGCAATCCAGAGGATAGCTGGCCATGTCTTCTTGAGCCCCTGGCATTTAGAGGTTTTATCCTTCCAAGCCTCTTATACTAGTTACCGCACCTTACCATTGGGTCACAAATGTGGGGCCTTAGAGATCTGCTGTAGAGAAGCCAGAGAAATTGTGAGCCTAGGAGTTGACCGTCCTTGGTTTTATCCCTCCTCTGGCTCTTTTCCTCTTCAGGCCATAATTTCCCTGGTGCCAGCTTCTTTTGCTCTTGGGGCATCCTAATACCTGGGCTCTCTACTGCAGATTGGCCGTGCAAGCTTCCATTAGGCCACTGGCAATGCCAGTAGAGTCTTTGCAGACCCTAAGATAAAGAAGTGAGAGCCGTAATTCTGCCTCTATCCTGGCTTCCCTAAGGCCTTCCTTAGGGGAGAAAGTCTACAGATAATCTTAGTTGAATTCCATTACTTTTAAGACTGGAAAGTTAAACTCAACCATAACTATCATCTTGCTTCCCAGTCTTAAGCACCCATGGCCCTGGGGCAAGCCTTTTCAAGAAGTGGTTCATTTTGCTTTACACAATCTGTTCTAGCAGTTCTGTGTAAACCAGATGCTATTTTTTTTTCCAGTGCATTTGGATTGCTGACCATTTAAAAGCAGGCTATGATTGCTTCTTTTGTAAAGTAAGCAACTTCCCTCTACTTTAGCTGTTTTTGACTATTTGGATTTTCACATATTGGGCTTACCCAGAGTAGAGCACACCTCTACAGGGCTTGTGGTTGACGCTGGGTAGCCATCTGCATCTGTGCTGTGTGTGTGGTGTGGCTGACCGGTAGGTGAGTATTCCTGCGTGTGTGAGTGAAGCCACTCCCAGGCTGGTGCTCTCCTCCTGTGCCCGGTGACTGCCCAGTGGCAGCTCCAGCTGCCCTTCACTCCCACCTGCTGCCAAAGTCCCTGTGCTAATGGGATTACAAATACAAAAAGTGAAAAAAAAATTTCGTAAACTTTGTTTTATATTAAAAACAAAAACAAAAAAACCCATAAGTCTGTGTGTGTTAAACATGAGGTCCTGCCTCTGTGGCTGTGTTTGAAAAAATAAAGTTTTATTAGAATAATCCATTTTCCCAAGCAACCTTGTGTACTCAGTGTCTTCTTCCCATCCCCACAAAGAAAAGTAAGGGAGAAGGCCCCTAACTCTTGCAAGCCCTTCTTCAAGGACATGGCTGGGCCTTGACCCTTAGAGTGCCTAAGCCCTCACAGATCGAAGCAGATTATGGCCTGTGGCCCACGCTTCTGTTAAGTCGTTGGTTATTTCTGAAGTCTGGTTTGCTCTCTTTCCATGAAATTTCTACTTGTCTCCTTTTTCCTGCTGTTATTCTCCCTTCCAGCAGGTTGAAGTCAAGTATTATTACATCCCAGTCCCTTAAGAAGTGATCAATGGTACTGTCAGGAACTTGTCTGGATTGGTTTATAGGCTTTGGGAGGTGGGGAGAATTAACAAGGAATTCTTTTTTGGGGATGTGAGAGAGTGTGTGTGTGTGTGTGTGTGTGTGTGTGTGTACCATCAAATCAGATCCAACTGGCACAGGCACAGGAGGAGATTGCCCCTCCTCTACAGCAGAGCATCTGGTGGATTCCAGCTGTGTACCAATAGGATTGCAGTGCAGCTTCCCTTAAGGAATTTCTTAAGGTTTTTCATGTTATATCTTGGAGAGAAGGAGATTTTGTCATCAGAATTCAGATTCTAAAATTTAGGTCATTTTCTATCCTAAAGATAATTCTGTTAGCAAATTATCCTAGTAGCAGAGTTTCTCTTTTTGTCATAGAAGGTATTTTCTCCTAATGCTTTAATTTGGAATGCTTATTTGCTAAAAGCTAGTTGGCTCGCTTGCTCTCTATAGACCTTTATTCCACCCGTTTTTCTTCCTAAGTTAACATTCTTCCAACGTGTGTGAGTGTACTTGCTTAGAGATCCAAACAGGAGCCTCTGTCCCTAAAGCTTAGCCTTTCTTTACCAGTTGTGGTGCTGACTTGCCATGCAGCAAGAGTCAAGTTCCTTTAGCCTATGTCCCAGTTTCCTCCTTCAGACGGGGGCCACTCATCATTGAACATCAATGAATTGTGCAGGACAGGATTGGCTTGACTACCTGAGCTGCAACCGTTCAGCGGTTGGAAATACATTCTAAAGAGAGTGGGAGTTGTCACCTGCCCTGGAAACAAAAGAGGGACTAAGTGGCGAGGGCAGTGTTTTTTTGTGTGTCCCCACATCCCTCCTACCTTTTAAAACCATTCCTTCATTTCTCTTACTATAGTAGGGTTAAAGTTTGAACATCTGAAGTGCTTGTCCCTCACCCAACCTTTCTTTCCTGTCATTTTTAGGTTTTCAGGCACTATTCTTTTGTGAAGCCCAGTGTGGTTATAGTTTCTGTTCCTGAAGAGCTACTAGTTTGTGAAAGCATGTAAACTCCATGAGGGCACGAGTTTTGTCTTTACGTTTGGATCTTGAACACTTTAAGATTCTAGCACAAGAAAAGTGCCTTGCAGATTTTCTTGAATGAGTTTCCCAACCTCTACCCTTTCAATCCCTAACCGTAAGTGTATTTTCTGTCTCTGGTGCTGGGAGAAACATTGGACACTGAGGTAACAGAGTTCTATGTGCAAGAAAACCCCAGCAGTGATTTCGGATAGGAAAATGGCAAAGCAGCTAGGTGTCTTAGGTGGACTCACTCTTGGGAATCACCATCCTACCAACTACAACCTGTACTTGAACAGGAATCTCTCTCAGTCCAGACAAACATTTTGAAACCTCAGGTTGGAATCAGAAGTTCCAAAGAACAGTGAGAGACTACGTTGAAGTAAGCATTTCCTTAGTGTTCCGTAGTGTTAATTCTAAAATGACTTCTCTAAAAATGTTATACTTTTACTAAAGCCCATAATTGGTGGCCTTTTATAGTCATGTTCTGGACAGGAGATAACTTGGAAGTCGCAACTCTTAAGAAGAACAAGTTATTTCTAGGAAATGAAATGGCCACTTGAATAATAATCATGGGTAGACATGGTCTTTAGGGAGTTGAGCTGCTAAACCAAAGGTCACACCTCTCCGATAGTTTAAATCTACAAGTGGCTTAGTGGGAAAATGTTGGGCAATCATGTGATTTACAGCTTCCCAAACCTACTGGAAGGTCAACTCTGAGTTCCAACTCCACAGTAAATTGAGTTAATCAGTGATTGGTAACAGCTTCCATATATACTCAAATCTGTGTCTCTGTGAAACCATAGAAATGCTATTTGTCTCTGTTGTTACCATGGAATTAAATAAGGTGGTCCATTACTTGGTGTTTGAACTAAGGCTGCCACCATAGTAATCTAGCCAAAAGTCTTAGCATCTTCCCTGTTCTAGAGTCCATGCTTCTAGTAACTCAGAAGGACCTGTTTATAATCTACAAAACAAACAGAAGAGTGAAGGAACCTTTGCCCTAGCACTACTGTTTCTTTGGTAAGATGTGCTACTGACTGAGGGAAGACAAATCTTTTTCCTACTGGTTTCTTCCCATTTCCCCTAAAATTGAGTTGAGAAATGCCTGGGCTTACACAGTAACACTGGCCAACTAGGAAAGGGAAGTTCCATGGGTTTTAAAGCAACAACCATGATATTGTCACACCACACAAGCTTTTAGCCAATGGAAGGTGTCATTATTGCACCCCTGTAGATTGTCCAGAAGAAACCCATTAAGTATTTGCTGGCAGTGTAGAATGTGGCTGCAACAATGGCTCTAAAAGCAGTGAGTGTGAGGATGACACAAGACTGGGCATTGTTTTGTTCTTTTGTACATAGGGTTGCTATGAGTCAAAACCAAGTTAGCCCCTGATGACATAGAATGGGATTTCCTGGGTGGTGCAAATAGTTGGCATACTTGACTGTTAGTTGAAAGGTTTAGAGTTCAAGCTATCATGAAAGAGCCTTGGAGATTGGCTTCCAAAAAGTCAATGAAGATGCACTTGTAGGATGGTTCTACCAACCCTCATGGGGTCACAATTTGAATTAACTCCAAGGGAATTGGTTTGGTATGCTAATTACCAATGAAAAAGTAGACATTTTACTTTAGAGGCTAAAGAGTGGAAGGTGTTAAGTCCTCTAAACGGTAGCAATTGTAGGCCTTATTTTTAGGATAGGAAACCAAGGTGGTATGAGCCATGGGCTTATTTCAGAATCATCCACGTGATAGGTACTTTGGCCCTCAGTCCCCTGCCTAAGGAAGATGATCTTTGATGTTTGAGAGGGTAAGCTAAAGCTTCCTCAGATAGAGAACCCCTCTGAAGGAAGAAGGGTAGGACCAAGATGGTGCCAAGGGGGATCCGCCCACTTCCCTACCCCCGGCCAAACTCGCAATTCCCCTCCCGACCGCAGGGGGCACTGCAGGTCCCGGGGAGGAAGGGGCGGAGCGCTACGAGGGGCCCAGAGCTGCAGCCCCGCTCCGGAGCGCGGGGGGCGCTGTGAGGACCCCAGGCTGTGGCTCCGCTCCCGACCACGGGGGGCGCTGCGCGGCGCCGGTGGTTGGTGGTGGCTGTTGGGGGGGGTGGGGGGGAGCCGCGGCCGCGGGTGGTGCGGAGGGAGGCCTTGCGGGCGGATCGGGCGCTCGGTGGTGGAGGTGGTGGGAGGCGGTGGGCTGGAGTCCGGGCGGCCCTGGCGATGGCGGACGCGGCGGCTTCGCCGGTGGGCAAGCGGCTGCTGCTTCTGTTCGCGGACACCGCGGCGTCAGCCTCGGCCTCGGTCCCCGCGGCGGCGGCGGCGGCGGCGGCAAGCGGAGATCCAGGGCCTGCGCTGCGCACTCGGGCCTGGCGGGCCGGCACGGTGCGGGCCATGAGCGGGGCGGTGCCCCAGGACCTAGCGGTGAGTGGCGGCCGAGTGAGGCACTCGAGACCGGGGCTGAGGGGCCTGGAGGCGGCCTCCCCGGGGGCCTTTGTGAGGGGGCGGTGGGGTAGGGGTGCCCTAGTTCCGCGCCCCCCGATCTCCTCAGCGCCCCCCGCCGGTTCCTAGGCACACAGAGCATTGGCTGGCATGGCTTCCGCGTCGAGGTGCGCGTCCCGGTCCCCCCCAGGAGGGCGGCCGGGGCGCCTCGAGCTGCTGCTTCCAGCGGGCAGGCCCCGCCTCCTGGGCGACCCCTTTCTCGGCGTCGTTTCCCCCCCACCAAGCACGCGTTTCCAACACACCCCTGAACCCCTGACTCCTCGGCCCCTCAAGTGTTTGCCCAGTGCTACCGCTGCCACTTGGCAGACGCAGACCTGTGGTCTTCAGCCTCTCCAGGGAGACCTGCACCATGTTCCCGTCCTCCCGTAGCCCCGAATGGGGCGGGAATGTGGGCTGTCGTGGGAGGCACGGGCTGCAGTTGGAGCTGCTCAGGGCTTTTTATCTGGCGGTTACTTCCTCCTTGTCAGAGCCGTGTTCTCCCTGGTCCTCTTCAGAATGGCCAGCTCTCAAGACTCTTTGAGACTCTTTTTTGCACCCTTGGATGACAGGAGTCACAGTTGTGGATGTTTGTGATAAGTTTGAGATTTGTCTTGGCAGCCAAATAGGGCTGCTGGGAATTCCTGTTTTTTTGCGACGTTCTCAGCTCCTCAGCCTCCAGTCTTAGAAGAGGTTTTGTTTTGAAACTTTGAGTTGGGACTTGGCCGCTTTCGAACGCTTGACATGGTTATTTTGTGATTAAAGTTGTTTTGTGTTGTTTAATTTGCATTCGGTACCACGATGTGTTATTTTGTTAATGTGGCGGCAAGATACCGTCTTTGAGCTGCTATAAGCCTCTTAGTTTCCTCATTCTGAGTTCTTTTCTAATGTAATAATAGATCGGCAGGTAGAAGTTGAATTTTCTTGATGGAACTTGCTTGTGCAGGTATTTTCTTCACTGTAAACTTGAAAGCATCTCGTGAGATTTAGAGATAATACCGGTTTCTGGAATTCATTTTTCTATCAATTGATTAAGTGACACTCTACACACCCCACCTCAACCCATACAGACTTTGATTGATTGGCTTGTGATTGCTCTTAGGCTTCAGCTTTGCATCTGCATTTGCTTTGATCTTTCTCCTTGCAATGTAAGAAAGACTTCTAGTACCTGAATGAGACCTCAATTGGGCGATTTTGTTAAAATATGCTGGGAATGGATGGGGTTATTAAGACAGGGATGTGAAGAGCAATCCTTGTTATGAAACACACTTCAGTGCTGAGGTGAGATAGAGGTACCTCTTCCAGATAGAGCAATCTGTTTCAGGACATTGGATGCAAAACGTACTTAAATCCCACCGTTATATGCAAACTTAACCTACAAAATAGCTTGTCCTACCTTTTCATATTGAATTTTCTAGTTCTTCCAATGCTTGTTTTCTTTATCAAATGAATTGCTAATGAACTCTGCACCTGAAATGGGTGCCCCTTCGCATAGTTTTCCTGTGTTCCGTGGGGCAGAGGTTTTTGAAGCTCATGGAAATGTTGGATATTTTTCCATTAAACCTAAGGAGTTGGTTTCTCAAAACAATTAAGTTGCAGTGATTCATGGAAATTGAAGCAAAATGTACATTGAAGCTGAATTAAGGTCTTGATGGAGCCATATGTATCGATAGGAGCAAAGACAGATTGGATTTTGAGAATACATTTGTGCTTGTCTTGTGTGTATGTGGAGGGAACACAGCAAAACTCAGAGCCTTTAGAATAAGCGTTTTACCGGCTTCCAAGATTGCTCTAGAATTGTTTTATTATAATGAAATTCTATTAATACAATGACTAGGATAGAATTAGAGCTAGCCGTTTGTTTTCCTTTTTCAATAAAGAGATTTCCTTTGGACCATGAGCTTGTGGGCCTTTCCAATTTGCACCACACACTGTAGTAAACACATCGTTCTTCCAATCAGAAGTGCTCTTCCTGTACTTAAGGGTGGAGTTTGCAAGCAACTAGCCTGTGATTGGGTAGATTTTCATTCAGTAATGTTTAAGTTGTTTTTCAGGCATGCTTGGTTTTGAGTAATGCATACCAGGGCGCCCCCTGTTAAGAATGAATAATTGAGGGATGAATGAACAAGTTTCTGAAGTGATTGGAAACACGCTCCTTAATTTTAGACTCTACTTAATACTATATTTAGAAGCATGTTTTCATCCAAAAATCCTTCAATACAGTACTGATCTATTTAATAAGCCTTTTTGAGGAAAACAATACCAAAGCTATGTGATGCCTTAAGATGAAGTATGAGGAGAAAGAAAGTCAAGTTGCTACTACTGCTTTGTGATTTTTGTTGACAAAGATATGATAAAGGGAGTTCTCCACCATCAAAGTAGCATATATTCATGACTACTGAGATGTGTAGCTGAAGTAAAAAATGAGTTTTTTTTAAAAACCCTAAGAATAACCCCTAGAATTGTAGCTTTATTTGTGTTTCAGAATAGATGTTTTGTTTTAAAAACTTCTCCCTGTGTGACCAGGTTAGTTTAATGTATTTATATGCATTTAGTTCTGTTTCCTAACATAGTGTCCTCTGTGTATGTGTTCCTGTGTCATTATTGGCACATATAGATTGCAGAAAATGTGGAACTTTCACACGTTTTAAGTATGATACATAGAGACGTGTATACAGAAGTATTTCCCTTTTTTGTTATTAAAGCATAGCTTGCATTTTGCAAAATGGCAAGCAACCACATATGTGCACAGAAATCTCTTAATAACCACCACCTCTCCCACTGATTTCCAAAGAAAGGTAAATTATGTTTGCTATCCTAGTGTTGAGGGTGTTTTATGTATACATATATGTTGATGGTGTTGCTGTGTTGTTGTTAGGTGCCACTGACTACAATTCTTGCACTTTCCTCACCGTCCCTGATATGCTCTAGGCCATTGGTACAGTCACTATGTCAGTTCATCTTGTTGAGAGTTTTCATGTCTTTCTTTGAATCTCCCCTTTTCCCAACATAGCTTTCTCCAAGGACTAATTTCTCTTGACCCAATACCTACTGTCTATGAGAGGGAGGGAGGGAGGGAGGGAGGGAGGGAGGTAGGTAGGTG